TTTATTTTAATTCTACAAATTACCGATAAATGTTGCAAGTATTGTTTTAATATTTGTGTACGGAACCCGCCATTGCAGTGCGAGTACAACTCGCATTTGTTTTTTATTTCAGAATAATTATTTTAAAGTGTTAAGATAAATTGTCAAAAAATACAAAATTTCAATTTTTTGTGAAGATTTAAAATATTTATTAATTCTATAAATTTTGATAAAATATATACTTTATATACATGAATCGATTCGTTTTTATGTCAGGAATGCAATTTTGACAAGAATTAATAAAAATTTTAATATAGAAAAAAGTTATTTCAAAAAATCCAAAAATTAATTTTTTCAAAAATTAAAAAATTGTTGAAAAAAAAATTTTTTTTAGATATTTTTGAAAATCCTTTTGTCTGATTTTTGGTATTCGTGACCGTAATATACCTACAAAATTTTATCAAAATCCGTCAAGACGTGTAAGAGAAAATTTGTCCACAAGAATCGGTGACATACACACACACACATACACACACACACACACACACACACATACATCCGGAGATTTGTTCCTCTCAACGAATTATGTATACTACACTTGAAAATTTGTAAAAATAATTGGTTCTAAAAAATTCGGAAATCGACATCACTATAAGGCTTCCTTTATGAGGAAGCAAAATCATTAAATAATAATGCCATTTATTAATAATTAAAGTTATTATAAAAATTAGTTAAAAATGATCTCAAATATGCTATGAGCGAGAGGAAAGAATTCTGTAAGTAAGGGTCAAGCAGTATTTAATAAGGTTCTAGGAACACCTGCTTTCCTCCTTTTACCATCTAAATTTGTCGCTAACCAGGGGTTTGCAGGAGGTAATCAGAGTTAACTTGCAATGCAAATAAACTCTGCTTTCATCCTATTACATCCTTAGGCCAGTCGGTGAGTACAAAAAGTCCACATAAGTGCAACCTGAAAAGTCGAAGCAGTTTCTTGTAGTTTGAGGGCCCCAAATAAGAGCTTCATAGTTTGCACCACATTTTCAGTTGCGAAAAATGGTGTAAACAATCGCCAAAGTTCGAAAAACATGGTTTTTCGATGACTGTTGCTTCCGGTTAAATTTTAGGGGAAAAAGTTGTGATTGAAAGTTATAGAGCTTGGAATTAGCTTTCAAATGATTGGTCGCAAGTTAAAAAAGCTTAATTAGTTTAGTTGCAAATGAATTTAAACCATTAAAAATAGCACTTTTTTAATTGTTTAATAACTTTGTTAATAATTATCGAATTTGTTTCTAACTTCCCAGAAATATTCCCCTTGCAAGGCTGAATAAACCCCAAAAAAAATCAACTTTATCGGGTAAATAGTTTATGCATAATTCCATTTGTTAACTAAAAACATGTAATTTTTCAACGGAATTTCCCCACTTTTGGACCTGCGAATTTCGTTTTTTTTCTTGGAGAGTACAGTTAAGGAGTCTAACTTTAATTCCGTTTAAATGGGAAATTGATTTTTTTTATTTAAGTGCATAATAATAGACGTTAAAAAAGGGTATGTTTTTTTGACATAAACAAATGGAATAACTCGGCCAATTTTCACTTTATCGATTTCGTGTAAAGGGCATTTAATTTCATTTGTTTTCACAAAACTTTTCCAAAAAAAATCAGATCTAACTTCAAGAGGTGGAGAGTTAACTTTTAAAAAAAAAAAATTCCCGACAAGTTAATTATTAATGTTTTTTATTGAAATTCGCACCACTTACAGTTTGATACATGTATTTTATGTAAAAAAATTAAACATAAGGTTTTGTGTATTTATTTTTAATTTATGACAAGTAAAAGTAAATGTATCCATTTTTCAACCTCTGAACGGCGGAGTGGGGGTACTCGGAGGAGCGTGATTCTCGCCACCACAACTGAATTCAGCCGTTCAAATTTGCAAAAATGGTCATAACTTCGTTAATTATTTACCGATTTTTATCTTCCTTTTTTTAATTTAATGTATTTTTTTACGCTGAATCCAAAAATAATTTTATATGTTTTCAAAATACAATATTTTTAATAATGAAAAAGAAAATTTTTTTTAACAACAAATTTTTAATTATTATTTATCATATTTGCCAAAAAATTCTTTTCGTACATATAATTCCATTGAATTTAAAATAATATTATGTCATAAAAAAATTAAAATTATTTACTTATAAGTATGTAGCATTGTTGTATTGATAGTTGAACAGGCGTGCTTATGTGAACCTGATGCTACAAGCTTATATATAATTAATTTTAATTTTTTTATGTCATAATATTATTTTAAATTCAATGGAATTATATGTACGAAAAGAATTTTTTGTCAAATATGATAAATAATAATTAAAAATTTATTGTTAAAAAATTTTTCATTTTTATTATTAAAAATATTGTAAGTTGAAAACATATAAAATCATTTTTGGATTCAGCGTAAAAAATACATCAAATTAAAAAAAGAAAGATAAAAATCGGTAAATAATTAACGAACTTATGACCATTTTTGCAAATTTGAACAGCTGAATTCAGTTGTGGCGGCGAGAATCACGCTCCTCCGAGTACCCCCACTCCGCCGTTCAGAGGTTGAAAAATGGATACATTTACTTTTACTTGTCATAAATTAAAAATAAATACACAAAACCTTATGTTTAATTTTTTTACATAAAATACATGTATCAAACTGTAAGTGGTGCGAATTTCAATAAAAAACATTAATAATTAACTTGTCGGGAATTTTTTTTTTAAAAAAGTTAACTCTCCACCTCTTGAAGTTAGATCGGATTTTTTTTTGAAAAAGTTTTGTGAAAACAAATGAAATCAAATGCCCTTTACACGAAATCGATAAAGTGAAAATTGACCGAGTTATTCCATTTGTTTATGTCAAAAAAACATACCCTTTTTTAAGGTCTATTATTATGCACTTAAATAAAAAAAATCAATTTCCCATTTAAATGGAATTAAAGTTAGACTCCTTAACTGTACTCTCCAAGAAAAAAAAACGAAATTCGCAGGTCCAAAAGTGGGGAAATTCCGTTGAAAAATTACATGTTTTTAGTTAACAAATGGAATTATGCATAAACTATTTACATGATCAAGTTGATTTTTTTGGGATTTATTCAGCCTCGCAAGGGGAATATTTCTGGAAAGTTAGAAACAAATTCGATAATTATTAACAAAGTTATTAAACAATTAAAAAAGTGCTATTTTTAATGGTTTAAATTCATTTGAAACTAAACTAATTAAGCTTTTTTATCTTGCGACCAATCATTTGAAAGCTATTTCCAAGCTCTATAACTTTCAATCACAACTTTTTCCCCTAAAATTTAACCGGAAGCAACAGTCATCGAAAAACCATGTTTTTCGAACTTTGGCGATTGTTTACACCATTTTTCGCAAACGGAAATGTGGTGCAAACTATGGGGCTCTTTTTTGGGGCCCTCAAACTACAAGAAACTGCTTCGACTTTTCAGGTTGCACTTATGTGCACTTTTTGCACTCACCGACTGGCCTACCTTACAAACTCTCAGTTTTAAGGAGGTAAGCAGGTCTAAAAGTTCGACTCGGGAATCAATTCCCAGTGAGAAATTGCCAATAGACTTTAATCGGTCCAATATCGGTCCAATATTGGTTGCCGTGCTGGGCGCCGATTGACTCCCAATATTGGACCAATATGGGCTGATGCTTGGGATGTAACGGCATCGCCAATCATCGGTTGTCAATATTGGTCCAATATTGGCCGAATATTGGCAACCAAGAGAAAAAAATTTTTTTAAATAAATTTTTTTTAATTAAATAATAATAATAATAAAAAATTAATGTTTATAATTTTTGTTTAATATATTTATTTGTTTAATTATTTATTTTTAATAATTCATGTAAATAATAAATAATTTATTATTTATAAATTATAATTATTTAAAAATGCAGCAGCTATTAGGAAATAGCATTCTGCAAAAAATTCTATCATTGAAAAATCAATGATAGGCGAGAGAAATCCGCGTCTTTAAATAGATTCGCAGATGATAGACAAGAGATATCCGCGTCATTAAACGGATTCGCAGATATACTCTGGTCTCGCGACGAATCTCTCGATACTTATATACACTGGAGTCGCCGTGTCAGTTGCGAGAACGGTTACAGCGTCCCTCTTGCGGCAGAGATAAGAATTGTCACGTAAACTGCGGGTATAATAAGGCGGTCGGTAAAGCGATTTAGCAGTTTACGTGACAATTCTTATCTCCGCCGCAAGAGGGACGCTGTAACCGTTCTCGCAACTGACACGGCGACTCCAGTGTATATAAGTATCGAGAGATTCGTCGCGAGACCAGAGTATATCTGCGAATCCGTTTAATGACGCGGATATCTCTTGTCTATCATCTGCGAATCTATTTAAAGACGCGGATTTCTCTCGCCTATCATTGATTTTTCAATGATAGAATTTTTTGCAGAATGCTATTTCCTAATAGTTGCTGCATTTTTAAATAATTATAATTTATAAATAATAAATTATTTATTATTTACATGAATTATTAAAAATAAATAATTAAACAAATAAATATATTAAACAAAAATTATAAACATTAATTTTTTATTATTATTATTATTTAATTAAAAAAAATTTATTTAAAAAAATTTTTTTCTCTTGGTTGCCAATATTCGGCCAATATTGGACCAATATTGACAACCGATGATTGGCGATGCCGTTACATCCCAAGCATCAGCCCATATTGGTCCAATATTGGGAGCCTTTATTGGACCGATGATCGGTCTCTTGGCTCCCAATATTGGACCGATATTGGACCGGTGAGAAATTTCTCACTGGGTTACGTTCTTGAGGTAATTATTTTAACCACAAAAATAAGTAAATCGATGTTTTTATCAATGCAAACTATAAAACTACCTTAAAAAAGATTAACATATGTTACATTTTATTTTTCTTGTATTGTACTAAATTTTATTTTTTGTGCTTTTTATAATTTCTTTTTTATATATTTAATAAATAGCATTTGAGAATGTTAATGGAAAATGTATCATCTATAAATCCGATGGGACTGAAATGACTGAGAACGAATGGTCTGTTGGAATGTATATACCAATTATTGATAACTGGACGGAAACATCTTTATTGGCATCACGGACGAAAAATATTAAATCTATAGAAGTTAATTTAAATACCATTCGTTCTAATTACTTCAACATTGGCTTGGATCCTGTTTATAATTTATTGACAATAAATTTGACTGATGAATTTGCAAATTACGAAGTATATGAGGTAATATTTAAAAATACTTTTGCCATGTACCAAAATAAATTATTTTGTATTTTTATAAATATTGAAAAAATTTATGCATTAATCTTATAGGTTACTATCGCCTCTTCTTCGTTGCTTTTTATAATCTTTTAAATTTTTAGCAGTTACCATATCTTTTATTATGCTACTAGAAATTTGCATTTTTATTTTTGGGGAAGTTTATCGATCAAAACTTTAACGTTTGACCTTTTTTGGAATCTTCTTAACAGCAGTTATGTTGTATACCTTTACCAATTGTTTGCCAACAAACTTTTCGCAATTTAAAAATATTATTTTCTTTACCAGAAGTTGCAGTTAGTAGTGTAACCCAAAAGTGCTCCCTTAAATAATTTTCCTTCTAATTATTGCTCTGTTATTAAAATTGATTAGTTTAAGCTGAAAACGAAAATCATCTATGGAAGGAATTAAAAGAAAACTAAATTTTCCTTAAGTTTTTGTAGGTTAACCCTAGAAGAAGTAAATGGGGTGTCTGGACACCCCAAGCAAAATTCAAGGTATTCCCCTGCCTTACCCAATAATTTTTTTACGCTCAAAACTCGTTGATAATTTAGTTTGAACCTCTATCTTTTGACACCTGTAGTGCCGCCAAAGCCCAAAAGTTTTGCTCTAGGAAGAGCTCTATCTCCTGTTAAAATACTCTATCTCCTGTTAACTGGGTGTCCAGACACCACAGTTACTTCCTAACGTTAGAAAAATTATCAATATAAGTAAATTCAAATTTAAAAAAAATCGTTTTCAATCAGTTAACATCATCTGATAAAGTATAAATTGATAGGTTATACATGAAAAAGTTGTATTTTATAAAAAAGAAACATTTTGATACAAAAATTCTATTTTTATGAAAAATAGACATTCTGTATTTGTAACAACTTATGAAATTTGAGTTAAGATTAATTAAAAATTTCTGTGCTCTCTCTACAGTCAGAGATTAAATTCTAATGCAAAAAAAATGTGGTAAATGACAGTCAAATTTAAATTATAAATTTTATATTGTTAATAATATTTTAACATATATTAGAGGTATTTAAAATAGTTAATTAAAATTTTGATTAAATAATGAGTCATTCCATTATATTTCGACTAAAGTCGTTGCCGACTAATTTTAAAAAATTGTAATATTTTGCAGGAATGATTTTAAAGATATTAGGATCACCGAACAAAAAGAATTTTTTAAATATTTTTTATATTTATTGTAAAATAAGCATCTAAAGTATATGAAGTCGTAAAAACTGACACTTTTTCATCTATTAGAAAATATTAAAGAAAACACATCATTTACTATAAAAACGTAAAAAAATTATTAGAATTTATTAAGAATGAATTATTTTATTATTATAAATTGATAGAAACAATTATTAATAAGAAATATTAAATAAAAAGTAATTTTAAAGTTTACATGGAAAATAACCTATTTTTGCAAATTTAATTCACTAAATATGAGAAAGAGAAATCATTAAATTGGATAAAACCTTATGAAATATAAAGTACCTGTGATTAACTTTTAGTTTTTCTTATCACTTTCTTTCTGTTTTCTTCACAAATATTAAAAAATAAGCAATTAAAATTGGCACTTTGCTTATTTTCACGATTTTTAAATGTAAATAACTTTTGCCTAGAAAAATGAAAAATTACGAAAATTGGGCAATAATTAATTCATCACTAGATACACTTACTGGAAAAAGATTTTCTTTGGTCCCGAAGCTATTTCTCGAATTAATTAACTTTAAACTTTTTACTATTTTTATCAGGTTAATACATGTGATTTCTTTAAAACTGAAGTTGGTTCAAAACAATTAAACAAGAAGAGCTAACTTCGTCCTTTAAAAAACACATGTATTAACCTGATAAAAATAGTCAAAAGTTTGAAGTTAATTAATTCGAGAAATAGCTTCGGGACCAAAGAAAATCTTTTTCCAGTGAGTGTATCTAGTGATCAAATAATTATTGCCCAATTTTCATAATTTTTCATTTTTCTGGGCAGAAGTTATTTACATTTGAAAATCGTGAAAATAAGCAAAGTGCCAATTTTAATTGCTTATTTTTTAATATTTGTGAAGAAAACAGGAAGAAAGTGATAAGAAAAACTAAAAGTTAATCACAGGTACTTTATATTTCATAAGGTTTTATCCAATTTAATGATTTCTCTTTCTCATATTTAGTGAATGAAATTTGCAAAAATAGGTTATTTTCCATGTAAACTTTAAAATTATTTTTTATTTAATATTTCTTATTAATAATTGTTTCTATCAATTTATAATAATAAAATAATTCATTCTTAATAAATTCTAATAATTTTTTTACGTTTTTATAGTAAATTATGTGTTTTCTTTAATATTTTCTATTAGATGAAAAAGTGTCAGTTTTTACGACTTCATATACTTTAGATGCTTATTTTACAATAAATATAAAAAATATTTTAAAAATTCTTTTTGTTCGGTGATCCTAATATCTTTAAAATCATTCCTGCAAAATATTACAATTTTTTAAAATTAGTCGGCAACGACTTTAGTCGAAATATAATGGAATGACTCTAATAATTTACTTACAGAATCACTTCATAAGTTATAAATTTTAATGTTAATATATTCAGATATATATATTAAGTTTGTAAAATTTTAAATTTATAACACCATTTTTAGTACCTAAATATTAATTGTTAAAGTCCATTTTATAGTTCATTTTTCTGATTTTCACTATTCGCCAGTTGTCTTAAATTCCTTTCACTTCAGATGTTCAAATAATTATGTTTTTTTTAAGTAATACAAAAACTAATTTTTTTCCTAAAAGTGTATCTATTTAACTTTAAAAACCTAAAAAAGTTTTCAAATTAGTCAAATTTTTAAGAAACTACAGCGTTTTTTGTGAAAAAAGTCAATTTCGCAATTTTTTGGTGTTTTTTTTTGTTTTTACAGTTTTTTTCAAAATTTCTTTAATTTATCAAAATATGAATAATATTTATTTATTTGAACATTTGAACATAAACGGGTTTCAGACGAACCCTTTCGTACAAAAGTACTTAATTGTAAATTATATAACAAAAGACCTTAACAACTATATGAAGGTAAGTTATGAGAACGCTAGGCGGAACTATAATGTTAATGGTAGTAGTATAACAATTTTTGCAATGCAGTTGTAAATCTATTCAATGAAGTGTCGAAGAACTCAACTGAATCACTTACAGTATTTGCTTCCCTACTCAACCTTATCATCAATGAATTATTTACATAGTTCGTATTATGATGTTCAATTCTAAACAATGAGCGATATCTAGATGGTCTGAAAGGTACACTTAAATTTATTAGTGACAAGAGTGTTGGACAATTTACAAAAGCATTCAATATTTTGAACATAAAAATAAGGTCTGCATACAGAAATCGAGTTACAATCTTAGGCATTTTTAGACGCTCACGCAAGTTATCATAATTATGTTCATGAAAATTGAATGGTATATATAACTGTCTCGCCGCGAAACGAAGAAAACGATTTTGAACACGCTCCAGTCTAATAAGTAAATACGCATAATAAGGTACCCAAATAACTGATGCATACTGTAGTGTACTTAATACAAAAGTAAAGAATAGTACTTTTAGAGTACGTTCATTTCGAAATAACGAGGCATTTCTCATAACAAAGCCCAGAGATCTAAGAGCTCTACTAATGGTTTCCGAGATGTGAGAATTAAATGATAAGGAACTATCGAGTATAACACCCAAATCACAAACCTGAGTCACCCTTTCAATTTCATCCTGCCCAATTGTATACAAATAGTAAAGAGTACGTTTACTCTTGGAAAAAGAAATGACCGAGCATTTTTTAATGTTAAAAGACATGTTATTTTGAAAACACCAAATTATTAGGTTATTCAAATCAGATTGCAAATCAATATTATCCTGATCATTTCGAATAACTTTGAATAATTTCAAATCATCTGCATACAAAAGGAAAAAAATATGTTTGAAAATTGATTTAATGTCATTTACATACAATATAAATAAAAGAGGACCCAAATTTGATCCCTGGGGAACTCCTGATGTAGATAAGAAAGGTGCAGAGTAATTATTATTGAATCGTACAGATTGATATCTATTTTCTAAATAACTTTTAATAAATTTTGTTAAATTACCAGAAAAACCCAGAGCTTCAAGCTTTTTCACAAGAGTATCATGGTCCACCCTATCAAATGTCTTAGTCCAGTCTGTGTATATTACATCAATTTGTGCACCCTTCCCCATATTCAATAGTAAAAAATTAGTGAAAACACCTAAATTAGTTGTCGTAGACTTACATTTTACAAATCCATGTTGCTCTTCAATGACAATATTAAAAACAGAAGCATAAATTAAATCAAATAATAAGCTTTCAAAGATTTTTGCAATGCAATTAAGGAACGTAATAGGCCTATAATTTCTAATATTTTCATTATTATTACTTTTATAAACAGGGATCACAATTCCTTTTATCCATTCATAAGGGAAAACAGAGCAAGAAATAGATTTGTTAAACAATATGTACAGAGGTTCTAAAAAAGCATTTGAGCAAGTACGTAGAAGGAGAGGTGACACATTATCAGGCCCAGCTGATTTGTGTATGTCTAATTTATTTAATTTTTCAAGAATGTCTTCCTTATTAATATACATATTTTGAAGATAGATAGTAGAGTTTGAATTAGTATTATAATTAGGAGGTGACATAGTAGGAGGCGTATAAACAGATTCAAAATATTTTGCAAACAAATCACTGATATCACAATCATTATCACAAATTTCATCATCGAGATACATTATGTTAGGATATCGTGGTTTTTTGCGCACAGAATTAACATGTTTCCAAAAAAATTTAGTATTGTTTATGACTGAATTTTCAGTATTACGTAAATAAGATTGATAACATTCTCTAGATAAAAGTTTACATTGTGCCCTTAGTTTAGAGAAAATTAAATAATTATTGTTCGTACTGGATGA